ATAGTTAACACACAAAAAAAAACATTATGTGCTGTCATCTAGCGACGGTAAGCGAAACTATTATGAAATGTAGAAGTAATTTTCCTGAGTAGTGGTTTTCCTTTTTGTTATTTTCTCACAAGAACGCAAGTAATAGGAGAAGATAATAACCATGCTCTTATATACAAATTGGGCGGGCAATTTTTTCACATCTTGCCTATCTGTCAGGCAAAGTAATTTTCATCTTAACATTAAAAATACTTTTGTGCATCAGAAAATTTCGAACTTTCATATGCGAAATTTTTATAATGTCCAAATAGTTACCAAACGTATCCTAAGAGAAAACATTATATATTGTCTTCAGTAATCAATTTCTGTTCGGGTCCGGAAAATTTGAACGATCTCGCAACCACCATAACAAATTATGAAATAAACATAAATTATGCATCTTTTATTCTGGAATGAACACAAAGGGATTTAAATTGATAGTTATTGGACGAACATCAGGACGTGTTTGTTGTGCAAATATAAGGTAGTGACAGTACTTACTTCTATTGTATTTTAAGTAAAGGTTTTTTTGGAAAATAAACATATTTGTTGTCTTTATTTTTTGTGTATTCACTGTATTGTATTGAACAAAATGGTTATGCGGCCCGCGCTCGTCATTCTCTCAGTTATGTGGCCCGCTGTGAAAAAAGTTTGGTGACCCCTGGTCTAAACAAAGGAAGTTGTGTTAATACTGGTGAAGATCTCATGACATTAGTAAATACTAGCAGTCAACTAATGTTGATTCTAATGCTGCTTTTTTCTGTGTGATTTGTTTTTATAAAAAGGTTAGTATTAGTTATTTAAATATTTTATTAAAATAGTTTAACCATTTATCAGTGTTCAAAAACTTTCTTCTTGTCCCTTTTGTTACAACAATTTTATCCCTTTAGTTTAAAAGAACGAAACGAGTTAGTTACGCCTTTCTGTCTATGAAATTCAATAATATTTTAAACCATACTAAACAAGTCATATATTGTTTATTGGTCATTCTTTAATTCATGTACTGTTTTGTTAGGTAAAAGGCTGATATGACCAAGGCCTTTAATTTTGCATATGATGTCTAAAGTCATTAATGACTTCCTTTCTCATCTGAACCTCAAGTTTGAATGCTGTCCTGATGTCCAAGTAATTAAACTGAGCAAGGTTGTCTATTAATTATGCATTTATTTCATAGGTTATATCAGTTTGAACTTTTACGAAATATGTGTCCTTTCACTCTGTTTTTTTATTGCGACAGTAATGTATATAGTATCGTTACGTTCATTATATTTGTTTATTTTCACAAATACTGTTTTATTTATCCGTTCACATGAATTTAATCGCGCGATTTAATTTCAAACTATCAAAACCAAATTTGTTCAGATACGTTTATTACTTGAAGGAATATGTCATCTAACTTAGGTGGATTTGTCTGATATTGTTAGCTTGTAATCATATTCTACTGTTATTTGTTATCAGAATATTTGTTAAACAAGCAATATAAATATTGTTAGTTTTTGAAAGCAACAGGAAGGACAAGAATGTGAATTCTGAATTAATGTGTCATATAAGGCCAGAGTTCCTCATAAATAAATAAGCCTTAATGTAGGTTACTGCAGGAATGTATCAATCTGTTCAAAAGTGTTTGATTGCTTCAGCGATATTTTCACTTTCCTTAACTTCCCGTCTTACAGCTTCTATGTTTTTCTCTAATTCGTCAATCGTTTTCTGTTGTTTCTTCTTCAGGACTTGTAGGTATTTGATTTTCTTAGCAAGAACAATATCTTCGTTCTGCACCTTCTCAAGTTCATATTCTATTCTATACAAGTCTGCAGAATCGAGAGAATCCAAGGTTTCTGTTAAGATGTTAAAAAATTAACAATAATAGTAAATTAGTTGTATAATAAAATTGAAATTTATTATTTACACTAATGTGTATTGCTGCTCTTCCTACTAAATAGAAAAACTGGGCAAAAGGTAATGTTAAAGAGATAAATAAAAAGAAACTACCTATTACTCCAGAAAATGTGACTGGTTTTATTTAAGCCAACGTTTCACCATTACGGCTCACCAGGGCAGACAAGACAGTAACAAAAGATTTCAAAATCATTCGGGTCTGCGTAATAAGGCAACTTCACGAGAGAATTTATAAACATAATTATTGTAAAATTATATTGTTGTACATTGTGAAATTGAAATACATGCAAACAAACAAAATTATACTATTTAAAGCATAAATAACATGTTATACTAATTAAATACGAAAATCATTAATTAAAAAATTCCAGGGTGATTTTTTGTTTAACTGTAGCTTATTTTCTGAAATAATACGGTTTCTTTGCATTTTCTATTTAAAAATTCTGTGGCAATGGGTAAGAATGTCTGCTGTTATGGGACAATAGATATCAGTTACACCACGTTTATCAACAAAATGTTCAGCCACAGAACTGGCTTTACTGTCTAATGTATGAAGAGATCGAAGACGTTCTTTGATTATATCCGTGATAGTTCTGTCTGTTTCACCAAAGCATGTCAAACTGTATACGACGTTCTTGTGGTTATTGTTTCTTCTTAAACCTTGTTTACAAACTACCAGTTAGTCTGCGGGTTTATTACATGTTTTAGGTTTAAAAACTGATCTTCTTAACATAATGTTCAAAGTTCTGTAACTCTAATGTCAAGACCTGACTGTCTACACTCCTGTCTAGTACGAGCTGAAAATCTTAGGACTAATGCATGCTATAACAATTTTTTATTCAGTTTAAATGTTGAGTAGTTGTAATTCTCTATCCCTATTGGTGAGAGGGTCGATTTAGTCATGGCATTTGTAAAGAATCATAAAAACAGTGTAGATTTAGCAGGATACACTATTCAACACATTAAAGACATGCTTAATTGGGTGCAGAGAAACAGTTATTTTCGGTTTAATGAGACCTACTATCAAAATTTATTTGCAAAGATGTCTTATTAATTTCAGAAATTATTAATGTGACTTATATCTTTATTATTATTATTATTATGCCACTGGGGAGCATATCTGTATGTCAAGGAAAATATATCTGGACTTGTAAAATTATTGATAAACTTATTCTAATAATAATAAAGATATAAGTTAGCGAAACAACTTGAATAATTAGCTCTATACCCACTATTTGTTTAAAAATATCCTTATCAAATTTAATTGTAATATAAAAGCAAAAACTAAACATGTCTTTAGTATTGTTATCGGTAAAAATTAGATTTTCTACTTTTATAGGTAAATCAATACCAAATCATTAAGTGGTAACAAGAGAGAAGGTAAAGATGTATAAGGTTGTGGGTTTGAGCATTAGAATCTACTCTTTTCTATCTCTCTCTCTCTCTCTCTTGTTTTTCTTTAAGCATGTGAGGCCAGTGAATATAAGGTTAAATAAGATAGACGAGGTACCTAACCGCAATTTGGGTTTTACTTCTGTCGGTACCTCAAAAACCAGGACACAGTACGTAATGAACCACCTATGGTTTGTGCCCCGGTATTGGATGTTTATTTTAAGGCTTTTTTTTTAATCAGAAAATTAAATCTAACTAGTATATACCAATATATCTGTATAATTTCTAAAGTGTAGTTAGTAGTAGTCTTGGCATGACCTGGTGATTAGGGCGCTCGACTCGCAAAGTGCGAGTCGCAGGATCGAATCCCTGTTACCGAAAATGCTCACCCTTTCTGTCGTGTGGGCGTTGTAACGTGACAGTCAATCTTACTATTCGTGAGTGAAAGAGTAGCTATAGAGTTGACGATGGGCGGTGTTGACTAGCTGCCTTCACTCTAGTCTATCACTGCAAAATTAGGGAGCACATCTAATCCTCGAGTAGTTTTGCGCGAAATCCAAACCAAATCAAACCAATCTAATGTACAGTAAAAACAATATGAACTTCCATTATAAGTGTTTAATAGTTTGTTTCAATGAACAAAAAAACGTTATTAGCTACATCGGGAGAATAGGATGGAAGATAAAAATTAATGTTTCGAAAATTTTGAGAGAATATCAAACATGTCAGAAAACCTATAATTTAGGAAGTAAACTGTTCTTGCATGTTTAACACTTTTGGGAAATACATATTCTAGAGTCTACTATTATATCTAATGACTGTTTGCTTAAGTTCTGAATTTGTGAAACTTGGATTCACTTGTATTTTCAAAACAAACCAAAACTATTATAATTGCATATATTTTACACATTTCATGTTTTCACATGAGATGTTCTAAGAAGTTTTTATGAAAACCATGTTATATTTTAAGCTACAATAATACCTAGTTCGTTCATTATGGCTTGTAAGGCATCCAAGGAACGTTTGACTTTCAAAGAAGCTGTTCCAACCAAATGTCCAAGCTTAGCTGTCTTGCTTTGAACCTGTAGATATAAAATATCCGTAAATAGCATGCACTATCTGATAGTAATCTCTGGAAGTAAACGGAAAGTGTTAAAAATCAGATTTGTCGTCTGCACCTGATGAGTTTCGCGAATAATATAAAATCTCGAAAACGTCAGTCCCTGTTCATAAAAGAAAATTAGAAAACGTGATATAAATATATTTTAAAAACTTAATTAGCTTGACATGTTGTAAATGGATATTAAATAAACTCAGTATATTCTAAGTTTTGGAAAAGTACAAGTAGTTCTGTGAAATATTTTTTACAATTATTCACTTCACACTGTTCATAAATCTGTGCTTTGTTTACACGGAGGCCCAGCATGGCCAGGTGGTTACGGCACTCGACTCGCAATCGTAAGTTCGAATCCACGTCACACCAAACATGCACGCCTTTTCAGCCGTGGGGGCGTTATAATGTAACGGTCAATCCCACTATTCTTTGGTAAAAGAGTAACCCAAGAATTGGTGGTGGGTGGTGATGACTAGCTGCCTTCCCTCTAGTCTTACACTGCTAAATTAGGGACGGCTAGCGCAGATAGCCCTCGTGTAGCTTTGCGCGAAATTCAAAAAACAAACAAACAATTGTTTACACGGAAGAACATACATTGATATGGATACTTTAATCAAGCACTATGATATTAATACTTGGATTAATTTTTTAATCTCTGCTCTTGTAGAAAACGCATAACGGAACTAAACAACCACAAAAGCTCTTTATTGAATTAAATATTATTTATGTTGTTTTACAGAAAGGATTGAATGTATTTAAATGATATTTTATGTACTGGAAACCAAATTAGTATTAGCAAATTCATGGTTCGTTTTTGGAGAGCCACATAATGATAGTTAGTTAGTCTTAAATAAAGTGTTGTACAATTGCAGTATGAAAACTTTTTGCTCATGGAGACGCTGTATAAGATCTATTGATATTCTAAGTTAAAACTAGTGGGAAAACTCATGCTTTGCTTACGAAACATTTTTTTAGTTGTGGTATTTTGTATCTGAATGCACAAAGTTGATAAAATCTAAAGGCAATGCTGTGTATTTAAAGTATTTAAAAATTTAAGAGAACTGCCCAGACTATTCACGTATGACATTGGGAGTGTAGAAATCTGAACGAATCTGACGGCCGTGAGGTTAAACTTAAGTGGGTTAAACCTATTCTAATCTGACGGCCGTGAGGTTAAAGTTAAGTGGGTTAAACCTATTTTACAACACATAATACCCACGATACACCTCTAGTACAAAAGATACTATGCCAAATGGTTTGATCAAAAAAATACACACCGATCGACATAGCTAGTAAGAGAAACCAGATATAGCGGATCTTTCAAAACCTGGTTATGGGGAGCAAATATTAAAACTCAACTGTCATGATATCGGTACTCTAAGTGTTTATAAACAAAAGATGAAATTCACACACAAGACCTTAACACGGAGAGACACGGAGTATTATGATATGTGTGTGTGATATGTTTTAGTTCAAAGCTACACAATAGCCTATCTGAACTCTGTACATCGCGGGGAATCGAATCCCGGATATTAGCACTGGAATTCCGTAAACTTACCGCTGACTCACAGGGGAACTGGAATATGTTTCAATAAATTTAAAATCTAGCCTATTTAAATAAAAAATACAAAAATTAAGCAAATATATTTTATCATAATTCTGATTTATCGCAGGCCACCCCATATGCTTGAAGACGTTTGTTTGAAATTAAGCACAAAGCTACACAATGGGCTAACTGTGCTCTCACCACGGGTATCTAAACCCGGTTTCTAGCGTTGTAAGTCCGCTGTGCAACTAGGGGGCGTTTGAAGATGTAGCTTCTGTTAATTGGAAGATCAGCAGCTAGTGGTTTGGATACAGATCTTTTGTGGTCAAGTGAGCTTAGATCTCTTTGGTCAGCAGTGGCATAAAGCGACTGATTACCACTTGCATGATGTGCGTTCTGTTTGAATGTGGCTAAAGAAATGTTAATAAAATATAAAAACAATTTAAAATAGTTTTCAGTGTGAAAGAGTGTGATTTTAAGTTTATATTCTACAGCTGCAGAGTTTAACTATAAATATACTGCATCTACTGTATAGTAACTAAGTCACGAATTTCTAAAATATGGATGACAACATGATCAACGTTTTCCAAACTGTCCGTCACCTATGTGTGAATGTTGATTAGCAATGGTGGAGTGTACGTGTTTTCTCTATATATATATATAAAAGACCAGCTTTCTTGCTAAAAGTAAAAGGTAACAACTTTCTTCCCCAATGTATTTTTGCTTCTGTTAATACAGCATATTTAACGTATAAAGTGTTACCTCAAAGAATCCCATTTTTCTATACCTGTTTTTTATCCTATAATAACTAACATATATAAGATCAGAAATACTATACTGGTTTAAACTAACAAGTTTCCTTGAAAATTAATCCCAAAGTTAAATATGATGTATACAGATCGTATATACATATCAATTTAATTCATCTTTCTTTGCTAGTGATTTCTTAAGGGGAATAAAATCTTTGCTCTTTAACAAGAAAAATTCTCCACAGGTAAAGCTTCTTTGTTTGTTTTGTTACTAAGCGCAAAGCTACACAATGGGCTATCTGTGCTATGCCATCACAAGTTTCAAAACCCGGTTTTTAATGTTATAAGCCCTCAGACTTGCCGTTGAACCACTAGGGCCCAGGTAAATCTAGTGAGAAAAAGGTTAATATACAGTTTTGGAAATAATTATGGAAACGCGCAGGTGATACGCATACAGGAATCACAAAAATTGGTTTCTTTTTCCGCGAGGTATCGTTTCCCCATTTTTTCTGTATCCAAGAGGTCGTTGTTTTGCTGGAAGATGAATTCCTACGCAACAAGTTCTGTTCCTGATGGAATGAGATGACGAATAAGATTTTATTTGCATCTGTAAACAGTCAATGTATCCCAAATTTTAGGTAGATCCCTAACTTTTGTCTGAAATACATCCTCAATTGTAGTGATCTCCTACCATGCTTCACTGTAAATGTTGTACCGTTCTTTTCTCTGCCATTATTGACTGTTACCAAGAAATTTGATTCATCTGTTAATAACATCCTCATCTAGTTTTGCTTCTGCCACTGTTTGAAGTATAACACCTATTTAAGCCTTTCTGCTTTGTTATCTCTAGAAAGTGATAGTTTGAAAGCAACAACACATCCAATATAGAAATTTTATACCAATGCATATCTTAATTATCCGGAGATAACATTTACTTACAGCTATGTCATTGGCAATATCTCTACTGGATTGTCGTCTATCATATCAGAGGCACATCCTAAGTTACTTAATATTGCTATTAAGTGTTTGGGTTTACTACTTCGGCTGCTTATATTATCAACAGCACTAGTTACACGTGCATTATTCAGAGTCATTAAGATTCTATTAAAACATATAATTTCACCAGTCGCATAGAGTAGCTTTTACCTTTACCAGACAAATCTTTGACTCCTACACGTTTGTTATACGACAATTTTATCCTGCCAACCAGGAGTGCATAACCACACTATTACTGGGAATAATATAACTGCCTGTACGTTTAGAGGTGGCATTGTCTGATCGGTTTTATAGCAATAACTCACAGTGTAAACTATCATCACGCGACTGTTTCCTGGTGCTCCTTATTTTCAAATAGCAACGGAAGAGCAACCCTATAATATTTGTGTGTTGTATTCATTTTGTTCACTACCCACTGCCATACTTATTTCCAACACTGCACATCTATAAAATCAAATCTATATTATTATTAAATTTCTTACAATGTCGTAAAATAATCTGTAAATCGACACAAACAGACATCGGTTAAATAATAATAATGATATATAATATTATCAAACACTTATTAACCTTTTCTGCTAAGACATTATCGACTTCTGTTTCCACTTCATACAGTTCCATTTGATCAGCTACTTCTAGAGCCTTCTGAAATACGTAGTGACTTTCCTGGAGTACATATTTAGTTCTTGTTGTTGTTCCTTCTGTATTCTCTTCCAATTTACGTACAATCTACAGTAAGAAACCAGTTTGTAGTGAAAGTTATACATTCTTAGGATTTAGTTATAGGTTTATCACCACAAATGAACCAGTTTGTAGTGAAAGTTAGACATTCTTAGGATTTAGTTATAGGTTTATCACCACAAATGAACCAGTTTGTAGTGAAAGTTGAATATTCTTAGGATTTAGTTATAGGTTTATCACCACAAATGAACCAGTTTGTAGTGAAAGTTAGATATTCTTAGGGTGTAGTTATAGGTTTATCACCACAAATGAACCAGTTTGTAGTGAAAGTTAGATATTCTTAGGATTTAGTTATAGGTTTATCACCACAAATGAACCAGTTTGTAGTGAAAGTTATACATTCTTAGGATTTAGTTATAGGTTTATCACCACAAATGAACCAGTTTGTAGTGAAAGTTAGACATTCTTAGGATTTAGTTATAGGTTTATCACCACAAATGAACCAGTTTGTAGTGAAAGTTAGACATTCTTAGGATTTAGTTATAGGTTTATCACAACAAATGAACCAGTTTGTAGTGAAAGGT